CTGCAAAGATGAAGACCAGAGGGGAAGATGACTCAGAGGAAGATCTAGACAGACAAAAGCCATAGTAAGAGAAAGGCCGGGGGTGTGGGGAGTAGGCGCTAGGAGGCATCCAGCCCCTCCCACAGCACCCTCAGCCCCGCTGTACCGGTGATGGCATGCTGTGTGAAGGCCTCCACGTAGACGAGGTAGTTGTGGGGACAGTGCTTCTTGAGCCACTTGCACACGTCCTGCTGGCTCCACAGGACCACGGGCCGGGTCAGGCCGCCCAGCGAGGGGCTCGTGTGGTACAGCCCATAGTGGTCAGAGTACAGCCGGCCCTGCAAGGGAGGGGCGTGGCAGGCAAAGTGAGGGTGGTGGAGAGGGAGGGCGGAACGGAGGCGGGTGGACTGGGTGCGTACCTGGGGGGTCTCTGTGCCCGGCTGCTGCAGGAGCTTGATTGGCCTGCTGCTGGCCGCCCTCTGGCTACGGGAGTCATGCCACGTGAGGCTGGTGCCAGGTGTCCGAGGCAAGTGGCAGGGGATGCTCTCAGCTGACACCGTGTGCTCCAGGAGGGTCCGGCAGAAGTTGAAGTGGGCAGTGGCTGTGTGTGGGGGTGCCTGGTCAAGGCAGTAAAGGGCAGGGGCAGAGGCTTCCTCTGCTTGAGAGCCAGCTCCCTGCCCCATCTCCCCTACACCAGTTCGGAAATCACTTCCCCCGTGAGGGGTTCCCAAGCCTCCGAAGGCAGAAGGAAGTGTGCAGGCCGTTTTCAGGACCTTCCCCAGCACAAAAGGTGAAGAACTGGAAACACCTTTCCTCTTGCACGTCTATAACCCTCACCCTGGGGAAGCAGGATGGATGCTGCTTAGACCGGAGGATATGCCACTAGGGAAGGGAACCTAAGACATACGGCCGGGCAAGACGGGCCATCCCGGAACAGCCCTGACAGCACCCTTGCCTTGGGCTGGCGCACAAGCCTTGCACACATCACACCAGACCAGAAGCGCACACACGACCTGCTTTGAGGAAAGGCAGGTCCCAAATCTGGGGATATCGTCTGTGGTGGGGAATCCTGGCTGAGGGTGCTGCCTGCCCATTGCCTTTGAAGGCACCCAGTTCACACAGCCCTATTTGGTGTTGGGGCCCAACTCACTATGGCTCATTGACTGCCTGAACTCTTGGCCAACTCACAAGCAGGGTTCCCTCCCCAAACACTCGCTGGGCTCTCCAGCTGTGCCACAGCCCACAGGGCCTGCCAAAAACCCAGCCCAGTTCTCAGCCGTTCCCCAGCACCTCCAGGTTGGCCCACACAGGTGCCATAAGCTGCCTGGGCTCCCTGTGGCTTATGCCCATACCCCCACCAGGACCCAGCAGGCTGACTCATCATCTAGAGTAGTGGCAGGCCCAGGACAACACAGGCTGTGTGAGTGGTGGGCACGCACTGGCTATGGGTGGGTGAGCATAGGTATGTGGGATACAGCTATTGCTCGGAGACCCATGGGGGTGCCCTGTGCTCCCTCTTCCTGCAGTAAGTACATTAAGGTGTCTCATCTGAGCTTTGTCTTATCTCTGGGGGCACTGCTGACCTGAGTCTGGGGGAGGCAGACATTTCGATCCAGGTCTTGTTTCATGGGGCACCCCACAACATTGTGAATGAATGAATGAATGAATGAATGAAGGCTCTGTATGGTGTCTGCAGGTGAACAGAGCCTGTGGGGAGGCAGAAGGTGGGCACAGGCCTGCCCCTGTCTTTACAGCACCCAGGCCCTCAGCAGGGCAGGTGAGGTTCCCACGCTGGGGTCCTCCTCTCATGTACCCTACCCGCCCCACACTCAGCCACCGACTCCACACCCAGGACAGGGCTTGGGGATGTGTTTAGGAGGTCTGAATATCAGGGGAAACCCACATCCTACTCTCCGGTCCTCCCACCCCGTAAGGCTTCTGAGACAACATCTTCCACCCCAATTCTTACAACTTTCAGGAACCGGACCCCGGGTGACCCCAAATTTGAGGTCTAGGGTCAGCAGAGGGTGTGGCCAGTGGGCCACCGCACCCGAGGTAGCCTCTAGTGCTGTGGGAAGACTGATTCTAAGCCCGCGCCTTCCAGCGGACAGGCGCCGTGGTCTCCGGGCTTTGCAGGGCCTGGAGCGGTCGCGCTGGTGCAGGAGCGCGCAGCAGCAGCGGGAACCCGTCCGACTCCTCCGCCTGCGCTGCACCTGCCCCGGGCAAGCCGGCTCCGCCCATTTCCTGCCCGCATTCCGGGAGTCCAGTCTGTCCCGCGGCGGCCCGTGGGTCCCTCCCGCCCTAACGCCAAGATTCCAGAAGGAGATGGGGCGAGGACACCCGGGCCGGCTGTGACCTCGGTCCCCTCTCGGCCCCACGGTGAAGGCTCGGAGGGTTTTCTCCGCGCGAAGGAAGAGGTGACCGAACGCAGTGCCGCCGAGGACACAGGCGCCCCGGCTTGTCACCCGCTCGCCCCCAGCCAAGGGCGCGCTGACCGGGCCTGAGGCCGGCTGCCCCCCAAAACAGGACAAAGGCCACGGGGACCCCGCTGGGCCGAGACGTCCTCCGAACACCCACGGCCGCCGCCGCTCCAAGCCCGCCAGGTCCCGCCCCCCGTGCCTCTGGGTCCCTGAGACCCCCGCCCGCGACATCCCCGCGCCCGGGTCCAGCCCCGCTCACCGTCCACATCCCGGCGCTCCCCGAAGTCCGCGCGCACGGCCCCGGCGCGGCCTCGCGGGGGGCTCAGCTTGGACCTCAGCTCGGTGAACATGGGGCCCGGGAGCCCGGCCCGCGCACACGCCCCTCGCCGAGTGCAGGGCGGCCGGTGTGGCCGGCGGGGAACGCGCGCCGCCGCCCCGCCCCGCCCCGCCCCAGCCGGCCCCGCTCCCGAGCCGGTCCCCGCGGTCCGCGAGTCTGCGCGGCGAGGCACCTGCTGCCGAGCCCTGTGTGCCGGGCGCGCTCCGGGAGCTCCGAGGTGTGTCGGCGGCGCGCGGGCCTGCGTGCGCCAAGGCTGTCCGCCAGGGCGAGGGGCGTCCGTGCGGCCCCGGGCGCGGCTCCGCCCAGGAGAGGCCCCGTGCACCTGCTGGGGGTCCTCTGAGGTGCTGCCCCTCAGTGCGTAGGGATGGGCTGACGGGCATCGTGCGGGGCCTTCTACCCACAGAGCCAGGAGAAGGGGCAGATCAGCCCCTCCCACACACTGCCCTCGGCCTCCTGCCTCTTCGCTCCCCCTCGAACGGGCACCCGCTTCCCCGGAGAAACCAGCTTGACTCTTGCTTACCGCCCACCCCACTGTGAACATTAGGGTGACTCTCCCGTCCCTCTGCAGCCCCAGAACCTGGCTTAGTGCCCGGGGGGGCGGTGCAGTGCTCTGTAGCTGAAAGGGGCTTGGCTGGAGATGGGGCAGAGGGGAACTCCAAGGCGGCTGCAGCAGGCCGGAGCGATGTGTTTGCTCCAGGACTCCAGTGAGAAGCGCTGGGCCGGGCTGGGCTGTGGTTGGCTTGCTCTGCCCAGGAGCCTAGGTGCTCTCCCTGGGTGTACGCAGGGGCTCTGGAGGATGTCTTACAGCAGAAGGAGCAGAAATGCGTGCACCCCAAACACGAGCACACGTGACCTCACTGTGCGCACACCCCACTAATCCACACACGCAGAATTCACACACATGCTTGACAGCCATGTTCATGTACTGACGTGTTCCCGACAGGTCAGCTGCGGTTATTTCGTCGATTAGCTCTCCGGGAGCTGAGAATGTGGCCCTCACCAGAATGTCCAAGGCATGCTGGGGGACGTGGGTGGGGTCTCTAATCCCGCTGGAGGCACAGATGCCTGAATGGGGGCCCCAAAATATGAATGCTAAAAGCATAGGGCAGCAGCGTGCGCACAGGACGCCCACAGGCAGGTGTGCCCACAGGCAGATGTGCCCATAACCAGTGCGCACAAGCGCTACACAACTGCTCGGGGTGCAGCTCCACTCCAATTGGAAGTGATCCGGGCCCGCCGAGGGCGGCGGCGGGACGCTGGGCTGGCTCAGAGGGAGGGGACCATGGGCCCTACTGGCAGACAGGTCTCCTTGGGAATGCATCAGAGCACTGGGGAGGCAGCGACGCCCCAGGCTCAGCTTTTGGGGCCGCCCCAGGAGCCCATTCGGGTCCCAGCGCACGCTCGGCCTCGCTCCTCCCGCCCCGCCACGAGGAGGCGCTCCCGCGCACGCGCCTGCCGTGTCCCCGCCCCCGCGCCTGCCGTGTCCCCGCCCCCTGGCCGCGGCCGGAAGTCGTCAAGGAGCGCGTCGGGGCTTCCGCCCGGGGAGTCGAAAGTGGGCGGGCTTTGTGCGCACCGAGCGCTCTGCTTCCGGCGCGCGAGTGACGCGCCAACCGCGACCTCCTCGTACGCAGCGCCTCGGACGTCGGGGCTTGGAGTGTCTGCGTCTTTCCCTCCTCCGCGGCTTCATTCCTTTCCTTCCTAGCTAGGTCGTCGTCGCCGCCATGAACAAGAAGAAGAAGCCGTTCCTGGGGATGCCCGCGCCGCTCGGCTACGTGCCCGGGCTGGGCCGGGGGTGAGGCCTGGGCGAGGCCTGGGGCGGCGCGCGGGGGACCCGGCCGGCGGGGCGCGGGGCGCGGGTTTCGGGGCGGGGGTCTTTGGCCGCGCAGTCTGAGCGACCTCGAGGGAGGCAGCCGCGGGCTTTGGGTCCGGACAGACGTGTGCATGCAGCCCGCCCGCCGCGTGGGTGCGACGCGCCGCCTGTCCGCCGGGTGTGAGACGAGCGCTGCTGCATGCAGCCGGCAGTGATGTGCAGCGGGAACGCGGCCGCCTTCCCAGGTCCGGCTGGCACACCCCCCGCCCCGCCTCGAGCGTGCCTGGGTCCTCCTTGACTGCAACACAGATGGCCACCGTACGTTGTCGGATAAATGGGCAGTCGTTGCTGTCCTGTTTGGCCATTCATTTGATGAGGAAGACGACTGGGCTTTTCTTGGTGGTGGTATTATACTAGAATCTGTGGGGCACACGCCAGACTCCGATGTGGACTGCGCCTTCAAAGGACCCGAAGGTCGTGGAGGATTTGGTGTTAGCATAAGTCAGTACGTAAGGAGGATCAGATTTAGAACCCAGTGCTTAATGGAGTGTGGCGTTGGGGCCCAGTTTAGTAGGAGAGCTGGACTTAGGGCTGCAGAGACGAGGTAGCGATAGAAGAGAAACTGACATTCTGTGTGTGTGGAGTGTTAGAAAAAAGTGAGGCCAGGGGAAGCCCAGGAACGGGGGAGTCCAGTGTGAATGGGATGTGCAGCCAGTGGAACGGAGCTTAAGAGGTTGGAGTGGCCTTGAGCGCCAGGCTAAAGCTCCTGGAGACGTCAGAAAGACCATGACCCTTCAGAAGTTTTCAGTCAGAGCTGTGTTTTGGGAAGAATCATCTGGCAGAGGATGGGTTGAAGTAGAGGAAGGCTAGAGGCAGGGAGGGCTAACTCGGTTTCCAGCTGTGGTGGGAGTCATAGTCCGGGGAGGAGAGATTTTTAAGGTGGATTCATTAGTACTTGGTGGCAGGCAGGATGGAGAGAGTGGGAGAGGGAGGCAAGTACTGTGTCACGGACCCTTGGCATCTGGATCAGCACGCCGAAACACCCCTGAGCAGCTGTAAGGTGGGCCCAGAAGAGGAACTCAGTTTGGGCCAAGTTGGGTTTAAGGGCCTGATTGGATGTGGCGGGGGGAGATGATTAAAGCCTTCTGGTGGAGGGATTGCCTTGGTAACGTCATCAGGGTAGGTTAAACCTTCAGGTAAGTAGAGAAGATCAGTGGTATTTGAGACTGCAGTTCATTGTCACCAGGGTCTTTGGAGGTTCCCAGAGGTGTTAAAAATAGAGGTGATATTAAGTGATGAGCAGGGGTGGAGAAGAGCCCGGGAACAGGTGCACTCAGATACTGGGTGTCTTGGGGGTCTCCTGCAGTGCCACTGGCTTCACCACCCGCTCAGACATTGGGCCCGCCCGTGATGCAAATGATCCTGTGGATGATCGTCATGCTCCCCCAGGCAAGAGAACCGTTGGGGACCAGATGAAGAAAAACCAGGCTGCTGATGATGATGATGAGGACCTAAATGATACCAATTACGACGAGGTGAGATGTGTCCGGCTTCTGTGTCTCCTCCAGCTAGTCTCTGGGAGCAGCTGACCAGCTCCCTAACCAGTGTGTGTTGGTGCCTGTAATGAGTGGCTTGGAGTGGCTCATGCATTTAAAATTTCAGCTATTCATGAGACATCTTCAGCAGAGAGTGAGAGGGAGCAGAAAGAATATGGAGAAATGTGCACTTTTCATCTCTTCAGAGAGATGTTCTTGCAGATGTCAGGACCACTGCCTTGGTATTTTGTATTGGTCAGTCTTCTATGATAAAAACTTACAGTGGAGTTCATGACGATATTTGCTTTTTGTAGCGTTAGTGGTTGCCCTCTAAAAAGACATCTAAAGGACAACCTCAGCTGACTGAACTGTCTTCTAACAGATCACATTTTTCCTCTGAGGAAAATTTTAAAAAATAATTTTAGTTTTGAAATAATTTAAATTTGCAGGAACTTGCAAAAGTAGTGCCCAAAAAAAGTAAAAGAAAAAAAAATGTTGGCCAGGCGTGGTGGCTCACATCTGCACTTTGGGATGTAATCCCAGCACTTTGGGAAGCCGAGGTGGGCGGATTACAGGGTCAGGAGATCGTGACTATCCTGGCCAACGTGGTGAAACCCTGTTTCTACTAAAAACACAAAACTTAGTTTGGCATGATGGCACATGCCTGTAAGCCCAGCTACTTCGGAGGCTGAGCCAGGAGAATCACTCGAAGAAGGAAATCAGAGGTTGTGGTGAGCAGAGATCACGCCACTGCACTCCATCCTGGCCACAGAGTGAGACTCCCTCTGGAAAAAAAAAAAAAATAGGTTTCTGCATATCTTTCACCAAGCTTCTTCCCATCTTACATGACCTTAGCACAGTTATTGAAACCAAGGGGATCATGCTGACACAGTACTATTAGCTAATTTCTCTGTTGTACTTGAATTTCGCGTTTTTCCGTGAAAGTCTGTTTTCTGGCTTAGGGCTCAGTCCAGGATCTCTTACTGCATTTTGTCCTGTCTCCTTGGTCCCTTCCAGTTGGAGTGGCTCCTCTGTCTTTCATGCCCTTGATACCTGAAGAGTAGTTACCAGTTACATTGTAGATTGTCCTTTGATTTGGCTTTGTTGGCTGAAGAAATAATTTAGCAAGTATTTCATAAGTAGAGCTCTTCCCATTTCTGCTGGTGGGGAGGTATTGGAGGAAAAGCTCACCTCTCTACACATGTTGTTTGGTTCTCAGTTTAATGGCTATGCCGGGAGCCTCTTCTCAAGTGGGCCCTATGAAAAAGATGATGAGGAAGCAGATGCTATTTATGCAGCCCTGGATAAAAGGATGGATGAAAGAAGAAAAGAAAGAAGGTAAAAGAAATTGTTGGCTTTCACAATATTTATCCAACTTTTAAAAAAAAGTTGGCTGGATGTGGTGGCTCACACCTGTAATCCCAGCACTTTGGGAGTCTGAGGTGGGTGGATCACCTGAGGTCTGGAGTTGGAGACCAGCCTGGCCAACATGGCGAAACCCTGTTCTAATAAAAATACAAAAATTAGCTGGACGTGGTGATGCACGCCTATAATCCCAGCTACTCCGTAGGATGAGGTGGGAGAGTTGCTTGAATCCGGGAGGTGGAGGTTGCAGTGAGCCAGGATTGTGCGACTGCACTCCAGCCTGGGTGACAGAGAGACACTCCATCTCAAAAAAAAAAAAAAAAAAAAAAAAAAAACTTTTGAGGCTCACGTGTAACCGTAGCATTTGGGAGGCCGAGGTAGGATGATAGCTTGAGTCCAGGGGTTTGAGACCAGTGAGTGTAAGCAACATTAGTGAGACCTCATCTCTACAAATAATTTAAAAATGAGCCAGATGGTGTGTGCCTACAGACCCAGCTGCTTGGGTGGCTGAGGTGAAAGGACCATTTAAGCCCAGGAGGTAAAGGCTGCAGTGAGCCGTGATCGTGCCACTGCATTCCAGCCTGGTTGACATAGTGAGACCCTGTCTCCAAAAAGAAAGAAAGTTTCATTTTGAATTGTTTTATACTTGGAGAAAAGTAGCAAGAGTACATGTGTCTCTGCTCAGCTTTTAGGCCACATAAGGGTCTTGTGCTGTGGAGCAGTGCTCAGATAGGCACTGGGGTGCTGCAGAACGGCCTCAGGGCCTGGGGGGCTGGAGTGGAGAGCTTTAGAATTTTGGGGATTACTTTTACTTACATCCGCGTTACCATCTTTGTAAAGGGCATACCGACTGTTGATTAATCTATTATGTGTTGAGTAATTTGTGAATGAATTAAAGATGTCAACTGACGGATACAAGCTGACAAGATTGAACCATGAAGAAATCCCAAACCTGAACAGACGGGTAATAAGTAATGAGATCAAAGCCGTAATACAAAGCGTCCTAGCAGAGAAAAATCCCAGGATCTAATCGCTTCATTGCTGAATTTTACCTGATATTTAAAGAAGAACTAATATCAATTCTATTCAAACTAGTCCGAAAAATAGAGGTGCGAATGCTTCCAAATTTATTCCATAAAACCAGTATTACCCTGATACCAAAACCGGACAAAGACACGTTGAAAAAAGAAAATGTTGGGTCAGTATTCCTGATAAACATCAATTCAGAAATCCTCAACAAAATACCAGCAAACCGTATTTGACAACACATTAGAAATATTGTTCATTGGCCGGGCACAGTGCTGTAATCCCAGCACTTTGGGAGGCCGAAGCGGGCGGATCATGGATCATCTGAGGTCAGGAGTTCGAGACCAGCCTGACCAACATAACGAGACCCTGTCTCTATCTATATAAGTACAAAAATTAGCCAGGCATGGTGGTGCTCACCTGTAATCCCAGCTACTCGGGAGGCTGAGGCAGGAGAATTGCTTGAATTTAGGAGGTGGAGGTTGCAGTGAGCTGAGATCACAACATTGCACTCCAGCCTGGACAACAAGAGCAAGACTCCATCTCAAAAAAAAGATCGTTCGTCATGACCTAGTGGCATTTTGCAAGAGTGGTTCAACATATGCAAATTAATCAGTGTTATACATCATATCAACAGAATAAAGGATGTAAACTATATGATTATTTTACGCGATTCTGAATATGCATTTGATAAAATTCAACATTCCTTCATGATAAAAACTCTCAAAAAACTGGGTGTAGAAGGAACATATCCCAGACTGAGCATGGTGGCTCACACCTGTTAATCCCAGCACTTTGGGAGGCTGAGGCGGGAGGACTGCTTGATCCCAGAAATTTGAGATCAGCCTAGGCAAGAGGGTAGTACCCTGTCTTTACAAAAAGAAATACAAAAATTAGCCAGGCTTTGTGGCACGCACCTATAGTTCTAACTACTCAGGAGGCTGAGGTAGGAGGATCGCTTGAGCCCAGGAGGCAGAAGTTGCAGTGAGCTGAGATCGTACCACCACCTTTCAACCTGGGCATCAAAGAGAGACCCTGTCTCAAAAAAAAAGGGAACATACCTCAACACAATAAAAGCCACATATAACCGGATGCCATGGCTCACACGCCTGTAGTCCCAGGACTTTGGGAAGCCCAGGCAGGCAGATCACATGAGGTCAGGAGTTCGATACCACCCTGTCTCTACTAAAAATCCAAAAATTAGCTGGATGTGGCAATGCAGGTCTATAATTTCAGCTACTCCGGGGACAGAGGTTGCAGTGAGCCAAGATCACACCACTACATGCCAGCCTGGGCAACAGAGTGAGACTGTGTCACCAAAAAAAAAAAGCCACATATGATAAGCCCACAGCTAGTATCATTCTGAATGGGGAAAAACTGAAAGCCATTTCTCTAAGATCTGGAACACACAAGGATGTCCACTTTCACCACTGTTATTCAACATGGTAGTGAAAGTCCTGTCTAGCGCAGTTGGATGAGAGATAAATAAAGAGCATCCAGATTGGAAAAGAAGAAGTTAAATTATTCTTGTTTGCAGATGATATGATCTTATATTTGGAAAACCCTAAAGACTCCACCAGAAGACTCTTGGAGCTGAAAAATTCATTAAAGTTGCAGGCTATGTCATCAGGCACAGTGGCTCATGCTTGTAATCCCAGCACTTTGGGAGGCTGAGGCAGGCAGATCACCTGAGGTCAGGAGTTCGAGACCAGCCTGGCCAACATGGTGAAACCCCATCTCTACTAAAAAAAATACAAAAAATTAGACAGGTGTGGTGGCACATGCCTATAATCCCAGTTACTTGGGAGGCTGGGCAGGAGAATCGCTTGAACCTGGGAGGTGGAGGTTGCAGTAAGTCAAGATTGCTCCATTGCACTCCAGCTTGGGCAACAAGAGCAAAAACTCAGTCTCAAAAAAAAAAAGCTGTGTATTTGGCTGGGCATGGTGGCTCACGCCTGTAATCCCAGCACTTTGGGAGGCTGAGGCAAGCAGATCACGAGGTCAGGAGATCAAGACCGTCCTGGCCAACATGAGGAAATCCTGTCTGTACTAAAAATACAAAAATTAGCTGGGTGTGGTGGTGCATACGTGTAGTCCCAGCAACTTAGGAGGCTAAGGCACGAGAATCGCTTGAACCCAGGAGGCGAAGGTTACAGTGAGCCGAGATCACGCCACCGCATTCCAGCCTGGGGACAGAGTAAGACTCTGTCTCAAAAAAAAAAAGTAGTATACTTATTAAAACTTTATTCTGAAAACTGTCATAATACAAACAAGTAGGAAGAACAGCGCTGTGAATACCACATGGTCACATGTAGTCTCAGCACTGAAGTGCAGTTACGTGGATGAAGCAGGCTCTTCTGGTGCATAGAACTGTAGATCCGAGCTGAGTTGGTTGTTAGTGGTTAACTACTTACTTGGAAGAGAAGGAAGTGAGGATGGATGAGTTCCGTAGAGGGTTTGGTGGTAACTAGGATAGTTACTGCTTTTCCTTTTAGGTGTTTTTTTTGAGACAGGATCTCACTGTGTCACGCAGGCTGGATTGACTCACTGCAACCCTGCCTCCTGGATTCAAATTATTTTCTTCCCTCAGCCTCCCAAGTAGCCGGGGATTACAGCCACCTGCCACCATGCCCAGCTAATTTTTATTTTTTTGAGACACAGTTTCACTCTTGTCACCCAGGCTGGAGTGCAATGGCATGATCTCAGCTCAGCTCACTGCAACCTCTGCCTCCCAGGTTCAAGTGATTCTCCTACCTCAGCCTCCTGAGTAGCTGGGATTACAGGCAAGCACCACCATGGCTGGGTAATTTTTATATTTTTAGTAGAGATGGGGTTTTACCACACTGGCCAGGCTTGAACTCCTGACTTCAGGTGATCTGCCTGCTTTGGCCTCCCAGAGCACTGGGATTACAGGTATAAGCCACTGTGCCTAGCAGTGCCCAACTAATTTTTGTATTTTTAGTAGAGATGAGGTTTCGTCATGTTGGCCAGGCTGGTCTTGAACTACTGACCTGAAGTGATCTGCCCTGATGTGCTGGGATTACAAGTGTGAACCACCACACCTGGCCTTCTTAGGTGTTTATAGGATGGTCCTACCTTTGGGATTTTGTTAATTTTCAAGCAGTAAATATACTCACATTCATATATTTAGATCAAAGTAAGATCTTTTTTGTTTTTATTTTAGTGAATTTCTGCATGTTTTCATTTGGTGGGTAATTGCGTTATTAGATTTAACGAATGTATTCATATTTATTTATTTGTTTAGAGGCAGAATCTTGCTCTGTCGCCCAGGCTGGAGTGCAGTGGTGCGATCTTGGCTCACTGCAACCGTTGCCCCCTGGGTTCAAATGATTCTTGTACCTCAGCCTCCCAAGTAGCTGTGATTACAGGTGTGTGCTACCATGCCCAGCAAAGAATGTATCCGCAATTGCCTTGAAATATATTTGATTTAGCTGCTAAGAGTATGGAATTGTTCTATTTGGTGATTTAATTGAGATGTATAATAAAGCAGCTTCAGACATCTTCAGACATGCAGTGTTTCTGATGTGCGCACATTTTATTTACTAGGGAGCAAAGAGAGAAAGAAGAAATAGAGAAATATCGTATGGAGCGCCCCAAAATCCAGCAGCAATTCTCAGATCTCAAAGTAAGCAGATGAAATGGTGTGCAGTTTCTACTGCACTTCACCTAAGCAGCAGGACTCAGGCTCCTTTTGTGTGGAATTGATGAGAGTTTACTGACTCGCTGTTTTTTTAAATTCGGAGGGTAATTGCTTAGAAGAAGAAAGTCTTTGCTTCAGTATGTTTGAACATGTATATGTGTATTAAAACCCTTTCCGTCCTTTACTATAAAAGGTAGGGCAAATGAACTTACTTTCTTTGTAATTTTGACTCCACTTATACCTAAGATTTTCTTTCTTTCTTTTTTTTCTTGAGACAGGCTCTGGCTCTGTTGCCCAGGCTGGAGTGCGATGGCACAGTCTTGATTCACTGCAACTTTCACCTCCCAGGTTCAAGCAATTCTCGTGCTTCAGCCTTCCCTAGTAGCTGGGATTACAGGTGCCCGCCACCACACCCGGCTAAGTTTTGTATTTTTAGTAGAGATGGGGTTTCGCCATGTTGGCCAGGCTGGTCTCAAACTCCTGACCTCTAATGGTCTGCCCACCTTGGCCTCCCAAAATGCTGGGGTTACAGGCATGAGCCACCACATCCAGCGCTGTTTATATATAAGATTTTCTAAACTGTGATTTGAGAGAATAATTTACATTTTAGTGAAGTTGAATAGGTCCAATAAATCGATTTTTCTTTCTTTTTGAGATAGAGTCTCACTCTGTGGCCTGGAGCTGGAGTCTCGGCTCACTGCAACCTCCACCTCCCAGGTTCAAGTGATTCTCCTGCCTCAGCTTCCCAAGTAGCTGGGATTCCAGGCACCTGCGACCACACCCGGCTAATTTTTTGTATTTTTAGTAGAGATGGGGTTTTACCATGTTGGCCAGGCTGCTCTTGAACTCCTGATCTTGTGATCTGCCTGCCTCGGCCTCCCAAAGTGCTGGGATTACAGTTATGAGCCACCATGCCTGGCCTAAATTGATTTTTCTAAGTGAAATAGAAAACCATTTTGGGGCCTGGGTGCAGTGTCTCACACCTGTAATCTTAGCACTTTGGGAGGCTGAGGTAGGAGGATCACTTGAGCCCAGGAGTTTTGAGACCAGCCTTGGCAACACAGGGAGAACCTGACTTTACAAAAAGTAAAAAATTAGCCAGGAATGGTGGCCCACACTTGTGGTCCCAGCAACTTGTGGGCTGGGAAGCTGAGGCGAGGTGATCCCTTGAGCCTAGGAGGTTGAGGCTGCAGTGATTCTGTGATTGTGCCATTGAACTCTAGCCTGTGCAACAGATGAATCCCATCTCAAAACAAAACTTAAAAACAATTTCTGCATCAGCATCAAAATCCATTCTTTTTTTTTTTTTTTAAACTGAATTTCGCTCTTGTTGCCCAGGCTGGAGCATAACGGTGCGATTGTGGCTCACTGAAACCTCCACCTCCTGGGTTCAAGCGATTCTCCTGCCTCAGCCTCCCAAGTAGCTGGGATTACAGGCATGCGCTACCATGCTTGGCTAATTTTGTATTTTTAGTAGAGATGGGGTTTATCCATGTTGGTCAGGCTGGACTCGAACTTCCAACCTCAGGTGATCTGTCCATCTCAGCCTCCCAAAATGCTGGGATTACAGGTGTGAGCCACTGCGTCCCACCCAAAATCCTTTCTAAAGCATGGTGGTATGGGGGAAGTGAGGGAGAACATAGTCCTACCTGGGCACATGAAATTCTGCCGGGGAATTAATGTTTTTTGGGGCTGGATATTTCCAGAGGAAATTGGCGGAAGTCACAGAAGAAGAGTGGCTGAGCATCCCTGAGGTTGGCGATGCCAGAAACAAACGTCAGCGGAACCCACGCTACGAGAAACTGACCCCTGTTCCCGACAGTTTCTTTGCCAAACATTTACAGACCGGAGAGAGCCATACCTCAGTGGATCCCCGACAAACTGTGAGCACCCAAAAAAAGGGGCACATGTGGCTCATTTAGTCTTGCTGGATCAGTGGCAGGATGGCGGGCAGTGTTGGATTCAGTGCTTCTGCAGGTCATGGCTGTGCTTTGGCCGAGTCTGTCTGCACAGCTGTACATGTATCAGGCCACCGGGGAAGTATTTCAGAGAATAAAGTTCTTTGGCATGAAATGCAAACCATCATCTTATTCTTCCCTCTACTCTCTTCCCTTCTAGCAATTTGGAGGTCTTAACACACCCTATCCAGGTGGACTAAACACACCATACCCAGGTGGAATGACACCAGGATTGATGACACCTGGCACAGGTGAGCTGGACATGAGGAAGATTGGCCAAGCGAGGAATACTCTGATGGACATGAGGCTGAGCCAGGTGAGTTTGTCTGCAGCATTTTCCTGTAGACAGGTTTAACATTTTTTTTGTTCTTCCTCTTCTTTCTTCTTCTTTTCTTCTCTCTGCTTTTAGTGGCTTGATTTTGCCAGAATAATTCTGCAGTTCTTTTTAATTTTTTAAATTCTGAGACAGAGTCTTGCTCTGTCACCCAGAGGCTGGAGTGCAGTGGCCCAATCTTGGCCCATGAAGCCTCCACCTCCTGGGTGGAGAATCAAGTGATTCTCCTAACTCAGCCTCCTGAGTAGCTGGGATTATAGGTATACACTACCACACCTGGCTAATTTTTTGTATTTTCAGTAGAGATGGGGTTTCATCATTTTGTCCAGGCTGGCCTTGAACTCCTGACCTTGTGATCCAGTCTCCTGCCTCAGTCTCCCAACATGCTTGGATTACAGGTGTGATCCACCGTGCCTGGCTATGCCTGCCCTTTTTTAAAAAATATATAAAATAATTTTTTTTTTTTGAGACAGTCTCTGTCTGTAGCCCAGGCTGGAGTGCAGTGGTGCAGTCACGGCTCACTGCAGCCTCCACCTTCCGGGTCCCAGTTCAAGCAATTCTCCTGCCTCAGCCTCCTGAGTAGCTGGGATTGTAGGCACACACCACCACGCCTGGCTAATTTTTGTATTTTTAGTAGAGACAGGGTTTCACCATGTTGGCCAGGCTGGTCTGGAACTCCTGACCTCATGATCTACCTGCCTCGGCCTCCCAAAGTGCTGAGATTACAGGTGTGAACCACCACACCCGGCCAAAAATTTTGCTTTTTTATAGAGATAGAGTCTTGAGAGGCTGAGGCAGGAGGATTCCTTGAGCCCAAGAGCTGGAGGGTGCAGTGAGCTGTTGTCACCGCTGCACTCCTGCTTGGGTGACCAAGATCCTGTCTCAAAGAAATAAATAAAAATACAGTTCTTTTTTCCATACAGAAGAAATTTGTTATTATCACAAGGTGTTGTCTGAAATTTATTTTTTTATTAAAGTTGTTTTCTTTCTTCTACTACTCACTGCCAGTCAGGATTATGGGAGGGGCTCCAGGGACCCTCTGGGAACTTTGTTTTGTGTCTGGTCATGTCCAGCTGACTCTCAGCCTGGCCTGTTTCACAGGTGTCCGACTCCGTGAGTGGACAGACCGTCGTTGACCCCAAAGGCTACCTGACAGATTTAAATTCCATGATCCCTACACATGGAGGGGACATCAAGTGAGTACTTTGCGGAATTGCTGGGCTGGGATGGAGGTGCTAGTGGCCTAGGGTGTTTTGGATTTTATGTGGAAAATCTGCCGTCAGAATGTGACATGGTTGTTCTAAGAAATACACAGTGGAGTAGTTTGGTTTTTTCATTTGAAAATGTCTGTATCCATTCATCGCGTACGCTAAATGTTTTACATGTGATAGTGCAAATCTGTGCCTGTGCTGAGCGGGAAAGCAGCCAGCTCTAGATCCGCACGTCCCATCTAGACCTTCAGGTCTCAGCATTTGTCTGTGGCGAGGCTGAATGGGCTTGGAATAGTGTACACTGAGTTTTGAGTTGGTTTGTGTAACTCAGGACATCAGGATTGAGAGTTCTCACGTTGTGACTGTGAAGTGCGTGCTTTCATTCTGGGTCTCGGGTGCACCCTGGCAGCATGGCCTGATGCTGTGTGCACTCTCACTCTTGTAGTGATATCAAGAAGGCACGACTGCTCCTCAAGTCTGTTCGGGAGACAAACCCTCATCACCCGCCAGCCTGGATTGCGTCAGCCCGCCTGGAGGAAGTCACTGGGAAGCTACAAGTAGCTCGGAACCTTATAATGAAGGGGACAGAGATGTGCCCCAAGGTGAGGCGTGCTGTGAGGCGTTTCCTGGGAGGCTACATAATGGTAGGACCCCTACGGAAGTAAACTCATTAGAGCAAATCTTTTTGTCTTTTGGTATTGAAACTACAGAGAGTGGAACAGGCAGGGGAGGATGTGAAACATGACCACGTGTTTTTCCTGCTTGTTTACACATGGAGTGAAGGCTGATCCACCTCGGTTTAATGACAGGCTAAGCTTCCTTATAAAGAGCTCAGTTGATCAGCTCTTCACCCACCTAGGTGCCAGGTGCTGTGGCTCACGCCTATAATCTCAGCTCTTTGGGAGGCCAAGGGGGGTGAATCATCTGAGGCCAGGAGCTCAAGACCAGCCTGGCCAACATGGCGAAACCCTGTCTCTACTAAAAATACAAAAATTAGCTGGGCATGGTGACAGGCGCCTGTAATCCCAGCTACTCGGGAGATGGAGGTTGCAGTGAGCCGAGATTGTGCCATTGCATTCCAGCCTGGGGGATAGAGTGAGATTCCGTCTCAAAAAACAACAAAAAAGAACTACCCAAGCAGATGCACAGTCTCTGCTTTGTCCGTGGAGTTACTCTGCATGGCATCGTATTCTTTTCACAAAGTGGTGTTTCGTGTTCTTTACTCAGACATACGGTAGCATGTTCCTAAGTGTTGTCATAGGGGTGAGTCCTGGTACAGGTGTGTTTGAGGCTGAGCTGATTGGCTTTTGTAAGATCTGGGGCCCGAGGATCTGCTCTAGAGGTGCCTGCTGCCTGCTGTGGCCTCCAGCCTGCACTGAGCCTTACTGTTCCTATCTCTTGCCTCACAGAGTGAAGATGTCTGGTTAGAAGCAGCCAGGTTGCAGCCTGGGGACACAGCCAAGGCCGTGGTGGCCCAGGCTGTCCGTCACCTCCCACAGTCTGTCAGGATTTACATCAGAGCAGCAGAGCTGGAAACAGATATTCGTGCAAAGAAGCGGGTTCTTCGTAAAGGTGAGCCTCCCTTAGAGGTGCCTTCCACAAGCAGGTGTTCCTGGGGGCTCTGGTCCCTCCCTCGTGGGTGCCCTTCCACCAGCAGGGGCTCCTGGGGGCCCTGGTCTCTGAAGGAGGGCTGCTTTCTCCATCCCTGGGGCCCCTCCTCTCAGCAGCTTTTGTGCTCCTGGCTCAGGCTTTTGGTGAGAGTGGATAAGGAGCCAGGGACATTTTTCAGGCGTTTCCTCAGGTTGGATTGTCTCTGCTCTTGGACCCTCCATGGGGGAGGGATACTGTGGTGGGCCAGTTCCCATCCTGGCGGGAGGCTTGGGTTGAGCCCTCACTCCTGCCTTTTTCCGGTGTGCGATCTTGGATGTGCTGGGCGGTCACTCTGTGGTCCAGGGTTCCCTCATCTATGGGGTGAGAACAGTAGTATCTCAAAGCCTGTGTCCTGGGGCTCTGAGGGCCCCTGAGATGGTCTACGTGAAGAGCATGCTGAGCCAGCACCTGGCACCTGGCAGACCCTTTGTGGGTGTTATTCATTCTCTCTCCTGAGGGGCACCAGAGCCACACGTTGATTGAACTCCTGCCCGCTGCTGACAAGGCAGGGCCTCCCAGCTCCTGCGAGGCAATGTATGCCATCAGCTCAGGTCAGATAATGACGGGTGGTGTGCCTCCAGGGAAACTGATTCCACCCAGGGATTTCTGCCAGGATGCGCTTTTGTGGTGGTTTGTTTATTTTTCTTACTGTGGATTCATTAAAGGAGCACTGTTTCTCTTGTCACCAGAACTGTGTAGTAGACGTTGCTCTTGAACTGGGTTCAGAGCAAGTGCTAGTCGGGGCTGTTCTGAAGCACATCTGTGCAGTGGCTTCTACCTGAATTGTTGTTTGTTTGTTTGTTTGTTTGTATTTGAAACAGTCTTGCTTTGTCGCCCATCTGGAGTGCAGTGGCATGATCTTGGCTCACGGCGACCTCTGCCTCCAGGGTTCAAGCGATTCTCCTGCCTCAGTCTCCCGAGTAGCTGGGATTACAGGCGTGCACTACCACGCCCAGCTAATTTTTGTATTTTTAGTAGATACAGGGTTTCCTCATGTTGGCTAGGCTGGTCTCAAACTCCTGACCACAGGTGATCCTCCCACCTCGGCCTCCCAACGTGCTGGGATTACAAGCATGAGCCACTGTGCCTGGGCTGTGTGTGTGTGTGTGTGTGTGTGTGTGTGTGTGTGTGAGATGGAGTCTCACTTTGTCACCCAGGCAGGAGTGCAATGGCACAATTTTGGCTCATTGCAACTTCTACCTCCCGGGTTCAAGTGATCCTTTTGCCTCAACCTTATGAGTAGCTGGGACTACAGGTGCATGCCACCATGCCTGGCTAATTTTTGTATTTTTAGTAGAGATGGGGGTTTCACCATGTTGGCCAGGCTGGTCTCGAACTCCTGACCTCAAGTGATCTGCCCACATCAGCCTCCCAAAATGCTGGGATTATCAGCATGAGCCACTGCACCCAGCATGAATTTTTTTTTTTTTTTTTTTTTGAGATAGCGCCTTGCTTTTTCACCCAGGCTGGAATGCAGTGGCTCAGTCTTGGCTTACTGCAACCTCCACTTCCCAGGCTCAGGCGATCCTGCTGGCTTAGCCTCCCGAGTAGCTGGGACTGTAGGTGCCACCACTGCGCCCAGCTGTTTCTAATTTTTGGTAGAGATGGGATTTTGCTATGTTGTTCATGCTGGTCTCAAACTCCTAGCCTCAAGTGATCCTCCTGCTTTGATTTCCCAGAGGGCTGGGATTACAGACATGAGTCATTGCATCCAGTCTGTTCATCCTGAATTTATAGCCTTGGAAAAATAAGGTGTATTTTGTGGAATCAAGGGTAGTTTTCAGTGAGAGCTTTCCAGCTCTCGTTTTTTCAAATGTGTGTTAAGTGAAATATCATATAGTGATGGGTCACATTGAGGCTTCTGTGCCATTAGTCAGGGCTGTGCAGGTGAGGGGCTCTTTGCTAGAAAGCCCCTTATCAAATACAGTTCATTCAGTTACGTCCACATTTGTTGGAGGCAGGTGAAGTCGGCTTGCCAGTGGCCCGAGTTCCCCCCACCTTGTGCTCTGATCTGTGAACATGCTTTCTTCTGTCGGGGCTAGTGCAGCCTAGCTGCTCAGTGAGTGCACAGGGACAGCCTCTTATAACGGGGCCAGGAACAGAAAGCGAGCACCTGTCTTGGTTTTTAGAAATCATTTTATCTTTTTTCAGCTAGGAAGAAATCGTTCTTTGATGAAAAGCACATTAAAGTCTGGGTAATTAGTATTGTTTATTTAGGAAAGCTCTATTGAATTCTTCCTGCCACAGTTTGATGAATGATCATGAATGTCTTTGTGGCCACTCCCTACTCGCCACCAGATTGTCTGGGTTCATTTCCAGTTGACTTTGGATTTGGAGGGGAGTATGCTGTTGGAGGTGGGTGCTGTCAGAGAGTGTTGAGGGACTGTTTCCATGGCCATCCTCAGGGAGCGGCCTCCTGGCTCTGCTCTCTCGGGCAGAAAAGCTATGCTAAGGTGGAATGAACGCTGGATCTCCAGGACGGCCTTTGCCACTGCCCCTAGTACTGGTCCTGGCCTGCCCCTTCCCAAGAGTGTTTCTAAAAACAGCGCTCTTTTTCTGAGGTGAAGCCCAGCACTGCTTCATTTGTTGTTAGTGAACACTTAAAAGTGGCTTGGAAGGTCAGGTTTTTGAAATTAAGATGACAACTCCCTCCACTGGTGACTTAGGACACCTGCCAGCCAGGCAGCCAGGCAGGGCACGTGGGTCGTTGTTAGGCTGAACTGACACCTTAGTCCTTTGTTGGGAGAACAGACGTTTCGGGTGCTGGTCTTGAGAGCTGAGGAAGCTGAGTAACCTTGGCCATGGTGCTTGACCTCTGAGCTTCCATGTCTTCGTCTGTAAAAAGGAAGAGGGCTTTCAGGATTGGGGAGGGTGCAGCATGTGAGCTTACTGGCTGGGGTGGGCTGGCAGCTCCCCTACAATAACAGCTCACAGGACGTGTGAAGTGCCGTGCGACTCCGCTAGTTAATGCGGATGTGTGAAAGTGGAGTTAACTTTACACTAAAGCCATAGACCCTGGCCTGTGAAGCGTGGCATTCTTCAGCGGCCATCACTGTCCCTCTGGGGCACAGGAACGGCACAGTCAGGTTGCAGGTCTTTCCTGCAGTTACTTGTTCCCCAGAGAGCATGTTGGCCTCGGCACGGTCACATCTTCACAGCTTTATCTAGCATTCAGAATATGCTTTTTCTGTTCTAGGCCAACTTGAGGGATGTGTGGTTCCTTTGCACACATTGGCTGGCTGTGGTGCTGCCTCCGCTTCTGCTCATAAAGTGACGCTCCTTGGAGGCCATCGTAACATGGCGTGCCAAGTGCTTTCTGAAAGCTCCGGGGACAAGTGGCGTTGCTGGCTTTAGTGCCATGCCTGCGGGCTGCCGATGACATGCACTGGAGATGATGTCAGCTGTCTCCAGAAACTTGAAGACACAGAATCCTGGGGGTCATAAGTTAGTGACTCCAAAAATTTAGTCCCACATGAATATTCTGTTCTTTAGAGACACGAAGTTCATCTCCACCAATGTACAGAGGAATAAGAAGTAGTTCATATTTAGACAAATGGAGCTTCCCCCTCCCACGCAGGAGAGGTGAGAGCACACGGGAAAACCAGCTACTGGTTCTGTGTCTCCTTTCTGTCCCTCGTCTCCTGGTTGGAGGTTAGGAGGGAGCAGCTGTGCTGTTCGTGTGTCCACCCTGTCCCTTGTCGCTTTGTTGGAGGTTAGGGCTTTCTTTTTTTTTTTTTGAGACGGAGTTTCGCTCTTGTTACCCAGGCTGGAGTGCAATGGCGCGATCTTGGCTCACCGCAACCTCTGCCTCCTGGGTTCAAGCAATTCTCCTGCCTCAGCCTCCTGAGTAGCTGGGATTACAGGCACACGCCACCATGCCCAGCTAATTTTTTGTATTTTTAGTAGAGACAGGGTTTCACCATGTTGACCGGGATAGTCTCGATCTCTTGACCTCGTGATCCACCCGCCTTGGCCTCCCAAAGTGCTGGGATGAGAGGCGTGAGCCACCGCGCCTGGCCAGGTCTTTCTTTACTTACTGCTGTGCCCTCTGCTATCACCTACTCGGGCAAGGTTCTTGACCTGGATGAGTAACCCAAATCTTTATTTTTAAGACACAGTCTCATCCTGTTGCCCAGTCTGGAGAGCAGTGGTGCAGTCAGCTCACTGCAGCCACAGCCTTCTGGGCTCTAGTGATTCTCCTGCTTCCGGCTCTTGAGTATCTAGCACCACAGGCGCGTACCACCATGCCCAGATAATTTTTATTTTGAGACAGGATCTACCTCTCTTGTCTAGGCTGGAATGCAGTGGCATGATCGTAGGTCACTGCAGCCACAACCTCCCAGACTCATACTGTCCTCCTGTCTCAGCCTCCTGAATGGCCGGGTTTCCAGGGACATATCATCATGCCTGGCTAATTTTTAGTTTTTTGTAGAGATGAGGTCTCCCTCTGTTGCGCAGGCTAGTTTTGAACTCCTGGGCTCAAGTGATCCTCCCACCTCAGTCTCCCAAAATGCTGGGATTGTAGATGTGGGCCACCGTGCCCAGCGAGGACCCGAATCTTTATCCCCAAAGGGTCTGACTTGCTGGTGGTTCTGCTTTTTTGGCAGCTGTAGTTACCATTAACTTTTACTCATAGAAGCAGAAATACTGAACTGTACTCAGGACCAGGCTCTAGATAGCCTCCCCCAGCGGGTGGTAGCAATTCAGTCTCGCTTTGGGGGTCAGGATTAGCCTCTGCCCCCAGGGCTGGTACACAGGGAGGCCAGAGGGAGCTGTGGTCTGCACCCTGGTTGGCACATACTCCCTTTGGACTAGTTCTCTTGACAGTAGGGTCCAAAGAGGCAGAGATGGGACTTGTGGCAGCAGAGCCATTCAGACATCATTGCCTGTTCCTAGACCCGTGTGTTCTGGCTGCGAGGTCCAGCCGGGATTGGTGTCTATTCATAGCATTTGTGACGTCCTACTGGGCTGCTAGGCCATAGCTCTGAGTGGTGGGCGCGTGGTAAGACCATGTTCTGCCTGCATCAGTGAATTCACGTAGCTTCGTCTTTTGGCCGTCTTTCAGTTGGTCAAGCGGACTACCAGGTAATAAGGCCAGGGCTGTCAGTGCCAGTGTGCTGTGTGGCACCAAGCGGGCTTTTGCCTCCTCAGTCCCTTCATCCTAAGGAGCTCCCCAGAGGCTGTAAGTGTGGGCTGAGGGAGGAAGGCGGTTGAGCAGCCACCAGTGTGGGAGGCGTCTGCCCTGACTCAGGCAGCTTACCTGTGCTGCACCTGCCTGCCTTCCGCCCCATCTTCTGGGTGCCATTCCCACTCTATGAGGCCACTGCTGCATCTGTGCAGCCTTGTGGCTTGGTCTGTCAGTAACATCCTGAGTGGGCAGCAGGTTGCTCAGTCATTTTATGTCCCTTAGCTGAGTGTTCATTCCCCTCCAGGGCCTCACAGCCAGCCAGGGGCTGTTTCTCAGCAGTAGAGCAGGTATCTGCAGGAGAGCTTAGCTAGCTCACGTGCCCCTCCCCTCCCCTCTCCTCTTCCCTCCTCTCTCCTTCCCTTCCCTCCCCTGCCCGTCTCCCTTCCCCTTTTTTCTCTTTCTCTCTCTCTTTTTTTTTTTTTTTTTTTTTGAGACTGAGTCTCCCTCTGTCACCTAGGCTGGAGCTGGAGTTCAGTGGTGCAGTTTTGGCCCACTGCGGCCTCCACCTCCAGGGCTCAAGCAACCCTCCCCCGTTAGCCGGTAGCTGGGACCACAAGCACATGCCGCCATGCCCAGCTAACTTTTATATGTTTTTTGTAGAGACGGGGTTTCGCCATGTTGTCCAGGCTAGTCTCGAACTCCTGGGCTCAAGCAGTCCTCCCACCTCAGCCTCCCAGAATGCTGGGATTACAGATGTGAGCCACTGCAATCAGCCACCTGGCCTAATTTCTTTCTTTTTCTTTTTTTTGAGTCAGAGTCTCTCTCTGTCACCCAGGCTAGAGTGCAGTAGCACAATCTCAGCTCACTCCACCTCCACCTCCTGGGTTCAAGAGATTCTCCTGCCTCAGCCTCCCCAGTAGCTGGGATTACAGGTGCCCACCACCACCATGCCTGGCTAGTTTTTGTATTTTTAGTAGAGATGGGATTTTACCATGCTGGCCAGGCTGGTTTTGGACTCCTGACCTTAGGTGATCTGCCTGCCTTGGCCTCCCAAAGCTCTGGGATTACAGGCATGAGCTTCTGTGCCCTGCCTAATTTCTTTTTTTTTTAAAAAATTTATTTTATTTTTTAAATTAATATGCATGCCATTGCACAGTCTAATTTCTTAACATCATTGAATGTCTACAACGTTGATTTTTTTCCAGCTCTCATGTCCGTACCTGCCACACACATGTGCACACAGAACCACATGCACACACAGTTGGTTTGAATCAGTGTTTAAGCAAAGTCTGAACATTGCCATTTGGTTGATGTCTTTTCTGGGTTCTTTGATGGAATTGGCTTGTTTCTTTTTGAGATTCCTTGTGTCAGGGTTTTGCTCACTGCAGGCATGAGATTGTTTCATGTGGGTCCTCCGTTTCCTGTATTCTCTTATAAATTGGAAGGTAGATTTGGAAACTTGGTAAGAGTAAGCTTTGATTTTTTCCTTTTCCTTTTTATCAAGAAAGTATTAGTGGCGATCCAAGCAGCATCAGGAGCTGCAGAGGCTGTCACTGCTCGGTGGCCACAGTGTCCTTCATGGAGTTCTCCACAGCCTTTCAGCTCCTGCCTTTGGCAGTGGCTGGTGACTGGCGCCTGCCTCTGTGACTTTATTGGGGTGTGCAAGATGGTGACATTACAGTTAGGTCACTCTTTTTGTTTTTATTGCCAGAATTATTCTAAAGAGAAGAACTCTTCTGTATGCATGGTTTGGTTATTCTGAGTTTATTTAGGAAAGACAGATACTTGATTTGCTCTCCTTTCAAATTTTGGAATGATGAGTTGGTTTTCTAGCATCCTCCAAGGGTGACTAATGGTCTGTTTTAGCTTTGCCATGAACTTTGAATGCTGTTGTATTTTGTGGGTTCGAATACACTGCAGATAACATTTTTTTTTGAGACGGAGTCTTGCTCTGTCGCTCAGGTTGAAGTGCAGTGATGCAATCTCAGCTCACTGCAGCCTCCGCCCCCTGGGTTCAGGTGATTCTTCTCCCTCAGCCTCCTGAGTAGCTGGGACTACAGGTGGGTGTCACCACGCCCAGCTAATTTTTTGTATTTTTAGTAGAGATGTGGTTTCACCATGTTAGCCAGGATGGTCTTGATCTTCTGACCTCGTGATCCGCCTGCCTCGGGCTCCCAAAGTGCTGGGATAATAGGCATGAGCCACTGCGCCCGGCCTGCGTTGCAGGTGATATTCTCACTGACCTTCAGAC